GAAGCTTTCTATTAACTGTTCTCCAAGGAAATGCCCTTTCCCCCTTGGCATGGCTTCCGCTTTGGGAAGAGATTTTTGATTTCCTAAATAACAGAAACTCTCTCCAGCTGAGATCCCTATGTAATTTTATTTAGAATGCAAATGCCGGCATCAAGATTGTGAATAGCATTCCTGCTGATGCCAAGAAGCCAGTTAGACCTGAGAGTCAACCTTACCATAGGTGGTTAGTAATTAAAAATGTAAAGATCTTGAAAGTTTTAGAAGAAAACAAGTCTACTTTTATCTGCTGGGTAGTAGTATGTGTGATAGAAAAGGCCCTCAAAAAGCTTAAGCTATCTTTGCAGCTCAGTTCAAAAAGGAGCGATTAATTTCTGCTCCAGGGAAGACACAGACACTAGCCAACCACTTTCTGACTGAATTTAGGGCCTACGCCTTCAGATGAGATCCATACCTGACACACCTAAAGTGGCCAAGATCCCGAACACTAGAGGAATTATGGGCCTGAGAGGAAAACTTACTATTATTATTCTGCTACAGGAGCACAGCAATAAAATTGTGACAATGTCACTCACTCCTAGCGACATTGTGATAGCCATAGATCAGGGCATCACTCAACCCTCATTAAAGAAGTTTCTAATTGCAGTAGATGAAAAACAACACAGAGACCCACAACTGGAAAATGCACACAGAGAGAGATTTTGGAGCACTCAGCTCTAAGCAGTATGTGTTTTTCGAAACCCTCCTTTCAAGGCGCAGGGTCTCTGCGGAAGTGAAGGCAGATGAAGTGGCAGATGTAGTGGACGATGCCCAGGAAACAGGGTCTTCCAGACACAGCAAGACTGGCATGCATATGAATTCACAGAGTCTGAGAAGCGCACACAAGACCGCCACAGGTTCAAAGCAGACAAAATTCACCTGTAAAGTTGCAGAAAAGTCAGAATGGCTTATAGTGATGTGAGATGCTGCAGCTACTTGAAAAGCAGCCTGACAGTTCTCTAAAGCCTTAAACAAAGAACTTCCATGACACTCAGGAATTCTACTAGGAATACACCTAGGAATAAAAGAGAATACATGCACACAAGAATTTGTACATAAATATTCAGGACAGTATTACTCACAGTAAGCAAAGGATATAAACATATAAATGTTCCGTATCTGATGAACAAACAGCATATGTTGTATCCTTTCAACAGACTATGATTCGCCACAAGAAGGAAGGAAGCGTTGGTATATACTAAAATAGGAGGAATCTTGAAAGCATTAACTAACTGAAGGGAGCAGTACAAACACAAAAGACCATATAGAATTCCATTACACAAAATATCCCAAATGGAGACACAATTGATTAGTGGTTGCTAAGTTTTGGATCATGGGGAAATGAGAGGCAAAGAGAACAGGTTTTGGTTTGTCCAGCTTTTAATGCACCAAAGTTTGAGCTGAGATTTAAAGTGAAGGCTAAAATGCCAGTGTTAGGGTTTAGATATTTGTCAAAGATATACTCAAAGTACACACCTTCATGAGCTGTGGAGATGGCTTAGTTGGGAGAGTGTTCATGATGCAAGCACAAGGGCCTGCGCTTGGGTCTACAGCACCCACTTAAATAGCTCGTCATAGAAGTACATATATAATCCCAGATTGGAGGAGATGGAGAAACTGGGATCCCTGTATCTCACTGTTCTGCCAATTTAGTAAACCAGTGAGCTCCAGGATCAGTGAAAGATCCTGTTTCAAATGCACACACACACACACACACACACACACACACACACACACACTCAGGAGGGGCCTGAAAGAGGAAAGGTTCAGTAGTTAAGAGCACATATTGCTCCAAAGGACTGGAGTTCAATTTTCAGCACCCATATTAGGTGGCTCTCACAATTGTGTAACTCCAGCTCCAGTAGGGCTCTAATACCTACTGAGCTCATGTGCACATCACACACACACACACACACATAATAATAATAATAATAATAATAATAATAATAATAATAATAATAAGCTTTAAAAACAAGTGGAGAGAGATCAAGGAAGATACCTGATATAAAGCTCTGGTTTCCATGTATGTGCAAACACACATATGCACACTATGACATAAACACCTACAAATGACACACAACAAATCACACACACACACACACACACAAAGAAGCAGCTTCACAATGCTTATCACTGAAGTGAAAAAACCCTACTACTTCCTATAATATAATCTATGAGTCCAGAATTGACTATTGTGAAATCTGGGGTTCAGTCCTTATAAGGTTAATGAAATGTACAAGAAAAGCCTCCTGTGGTGTCATTGCACAACCCAAACTCTACCGTGTCCAAGGATAGGAAACTTGGCGATAGTTTTGTGGATCATCTCAGTTACTGAATGGGGATGGTTCACATCCCTTTGACAGTTTAGAGGTTTCTGTTAAAGATCATCAAATCCAGGAATCTTCAGTTAGCCAAATCCTTTTCCTGGAGGGGAAGACTAAGCCAAGAGAATACTGGAGGCATGAAGTTCCATTTTATATCTCCCTGGCATTCACTACAACTCCTTCACTCTTGTTTTTCTTTCCTCCAGACATTAGGTTGTCAGCCCACTCCAGTTTAAGATAAGCTCTAGGTAGAGGACTCGAGCCAATATAGTCAAATGAAGATTATCACAGGGAGTGGGGAGGAGGGGACTTCCTTATGTAGACTGATTGCTACCTTTTCATCCAAAAGCTGCTGTTTACTCTTAGCAGCAGAACTCAGATATCGTTTAGGGAGCACAACACCTAGTTGAATTACAATTTTCCTCATACTCTGTTGCAAATAGAGGTGAAAAAGGCTGTAATTTGAACAATAAGGACTTTTGGTACATCTTGTTATAATGATACAGGCCCACATACATCAACTCTCTTTTACTTCTCCTAGAACCTGGGGGTGAAGTGGGGGCTAGGGCAATTACCCTTGTGTTGTGAGATAACTGTGGGTATCTACACGCAGTCTTCTGCTGCAGAAGAGAAAAAGAAGCTGGGCACTGATGGTCCCGTGGCACTGCCACACAGGCCTAGATAGCCCATCACCACACGTCTGCAATGTGATAAGGCCAACCTTTTTTTTTTTTTTTTTTGGCTGTGTGTAGCTTTCTAGGAGACACAGCTATCTAGCATGAGCATAAAATTAATGTCTTTTGAAAAACCTGAGAGTGTTAAGTTTCAATATAGACACTCCAACTCTCTTGTTTCATAAAAGGAGAAACTTTCAGTCTCCCAAAGTCCTCACGTTTTGCTTAGTGAAGTCATTACTCTCCAGGGTGAAATAAAAACGAGCATTTATACAGTTCAGTGTGGTTCAGATAAAGCCACATATTAAATGACCAAATTAGGAAGGGAAAGATAAGCATGTTGTTAATTTCTGATATGCATTCTTGCTTGTATGAAATTAAGCTCCTTTTGCATTCCAATTTGAATTATAGATTGCTTTTATTATTATTACAATGAGAGGACAGCCTTCCATATAGGCAAACCCCTAAACTACAAACTATATAATTCACTTTTAGAAATCACAACATTGACTTCAGAGTTAAAAAAAAAATCTACGTGGGAACTATCAGAATTACATACTGTTTTCATTTTGGAATATAATTATTCCATAATTTTTTGGTCTTTCTAGTATTTCTCAATGAAACTTTGGAAACATAATAAAAATTCACTCAATATTGATAATTGAATAAGTCTCAAATAAATGATGATTTTTTAACCTGCCAAATTGTTACAAGCTAAAGATCTATTACAGAAAGCTTTTAAACAACTTAAGGAAATATTCCTTGATTCCTTTGAACAACTTAGGAAAAATATTCCTTGACTCCTGTTTCCTTTAAGTAGTCAAAGACAAACAGCAAGCAGACAACCTCAGACAACCTCAGTTTTTCAGAATGGATACTGAACATTCCCGAGACGAAGTCTAAGGAAGCAGAGTATACAAAAGTTAGGCTGCTGGTTTTGTTGAAGGCAATTCAAAATTCGGCACATACTGCTTCGTTCCCAGATGTCAACCTTTCATAAAAGCACCCTGCAACTTTTGTGTCCGTATTTCATTCTCAGCTTCTCGGGCTTACAAATTTGGCCAGTGCTCATCATTTGGCCCAGTGCTATGGGCTAAAGCTACATCACCAGACCGGGATCTGGAAGCAGACACCAGAAGGATGAATGGACGTGCCAGGCTCCTGCAGCGACACACCTCGGAGCCCCGGGGAGCACGGTCTACATTCTAGATTCATTTTCTTTTCTCCCCACCCATCTGTATCACTTTAATTGGCTTTTTTAAAACTACCATTTACAGGCTCAGATTTTTTTTAATACTTATTTATTATGTATACAATATTCTGTGTGTATGCCTGCACCACACACATGTAAGAGGGCACCAGACTCCATTACAGATGGTTGTGAGCCACCATGTGGTTGCTGAGAATTGAACTCAGGACCATTAGGAAGAGCAGGCAATGCTCTTAACCTCTGAGCCATCTCTCCAGCCCCAGGCTCAGATTTTAATTAGCACTTTAATATAAAGAACTTACAAATAAAAATATCAGGCACACCATTTTTAAATAGATGGTTCAGACCCACTATGTTTTTACTATTATTATTGTTTTAATATTCAAAACCCAGTTTGCACATGGTGGCGTCCTGTGCTCCAGAGTAGTGTGTCTAGATCGATGCTGAGAGACAAAATCTGCCCTCTCTCTGGACTTGTAAGTCTGGGATTCATGCACTTTTCCTGAACTGTTTTCCGTAGGTGTCTGTCAGATAACACCCATCTCAATCCTCTGCCTAACTTCCACAGCGAATGGGCGCCCGCGAAATAATTCAGCAGTCCCGGGACAGCAGCGCCTCCTACAGGTATCTCCGGAAAATACCCAGAGCTGCTCCTGGTCCCTGGGGCCCAGCGGGAGACGAGCTCCCGGAACCCTACTAACTTTTCTTGCGAGTTCACCAACAACTAGCAGGAGTCGGGCCCCAAGGGTCGCCTACCTGCTGATGTACCCATCGCGGTCGCCGTCGCAGGTCTGGAAGAGTCGCCGCATCCGCTCCTCCTCGCCAGTGCTGGACGTGTCGCTGCTGCCACCGCTGCTGTCGCAGGCGCTCGCAGCCGCCATCGCGCACCCGCCCTCGGGAGGAAGAGTAGGACCGGCACAACGCACCGCCGCTGGCAGCCCCGAACCTGCCCGACGACAGAGCATGCCCAGTGGCCGCCCTGGCGCTCCCGGCGACCGATTCCACCTCTCCGGGTTTTGCCCGGGCTGGGAAGATGGGTGCCCCAGAATCACCCAATTGGCACCTGCGGAACGAGGGTGGCTCTGGGAATCTGGGAGCCCAGGGTGCCTACCTGGACGTCAGAGAAGGCTCCGCGGCTCCTGATACTTGGAGACGGTTCAGGCAGAAGCGGGGTGTTCTCCTGGAACTAGTGCACAACAGAGAAAGTAGAGGATTCCTTTTTGGGGAGTGGGGTGGGGCGCGACTCTTGTTGCAGGATCAAAACTGCGTGCGATCCCACTTTCCAGAACGTGCTGGATTCCTGACTCCATCACCGGAATGAGACCCAGACAGGCTGGCATTTTTATGTTTTACACCTGACAAGCAGCCTGACTCAGCCCATATTTGTCTTCCACTGGGGCAGTCTGCCTTTTTCAGTAGGACCTTTTGCTCTTTCGGTCGGTTTTTAATAGCTGCACTCTGCTGGCTGGCTGCACTTGCCTTTATCCTCACCACTTTAATACATCAACACTGAACACAATGGATGCTTGCACTGGATCCACTCTACAGATCTAGACAATTCCTCTTTTTTCACCAATCCTATGGCTGGAGAAGTAGGTAAGGACTCCATGGGTTATGGGGTTATCTTATGGGTAAAGGAGATATGGCATAATAGGGCAATACTTAGCTTCAGCCACGTACTTAATGGATACTAATCCTATCTGCAGATAGGACTTCTGAGGTATTAAGGCTTGCTCCAAGTTCCAAGCCTTGGGTCAGAGCAGAAGCAAGCCTAGGCAATCTTAACTCCAGATCTGGAGCCTCAAACAACAGACTAACCCATCATAGCAAAAGGCAAAGGAACCACAATGAAACAATTTGTGGTTTAGGGAATGACTCATTATTATGTTTCAGGCTTTCTGTCAGAGTTCTGTGAAGTCCTGTGGTGGTTTAAACACATGCCCAAAGATTCTTTGGTGCACTTCCCATCAGAAGGTGGAGTATGTGGTCACTTGAGCCTGTCTGGTTCAAAGTAACTGCCTTGACTTCTGAAGCCAGCTTTGAAATGGTAGTAGATTCTACCTGGCTCTCTTTTCGGATGCTGCAATCTGCTTTGAAAGAATTTTGGCTGCACATAAGCTGCTGTATGGGAGAATCCATGCAAAGAGACCATGTAAAAACAAAAGAGATGTCAAACGGCCTCCAGATATTTGAGCCTTCTCAGGCCTGGGGCCAGACACAAGTGAGATATGATGCTTTCTCTAGAGATTGCTAATCCATAAGCAAAACCAGAGCCCATCAGAACTCAGCCAACACTCCAGAGCTATGATAACCATAAAAGGACCATTATGCTAAATCACTGAATTTTAGGGTGATGTGTTTATTCAGCAGTAGGTAGCTGGAGCAAGTTTGTCTATGTTGGGACTTTCTACAAGGTCAGCCGGAAGGGTCTCTGCTCACTTTCCTTTCTTTTCCATCCCACCTACCTAGTTCTACTTAGGTTCTCTTTAACTCGACAAATTCCTAGCACTTCAAGAGTTTGGGTCGGAATTTATAATCAGACACTGGGTGTGTTAGAAATGGGTCTGGGGTCTCAGAGAGTAACCACATAATTCCAACTCCTTCAGCAAGGGAAAAAGTTTTCCTTCTGGACTGCAGAGATGGATCAGCAGTTGAGAACATGTGCTGTTCTTCTGGAGGACCCAGGTTTGGTTCTTAGCACCCACATGGTAGCTTACAACCATCCTTGACTCCAGTTCCAGGGAATCTAGCATCCTCTCCTGGCCTCAGTGGGCACCAGTCATGGCATAGTACACATTGATAACACACAAGCCAAATACTCAAACACATGAAACAAACAAATACGCCTTTTTGAAAGGTTTTATCTCTGCAAAAGGATGTGGGCACACTCAGCAGGGGTCCCTCTGGGTTTCTATTCTTATTGCAAAGGGGTCCTGCACCACTGTGAGTGGTCAGACCTTAGCCTCATACATTGGCACAGCTGATAACTGAAGCACAATTTTTTAGACTAGGAGGCAGCCTTGAACACATACTTCGATCTTAGAAAATGCTGGCTAGAAGAGGACTTTTGCCAAATAGCATCTTTACAGACATCTTTAAAGGTGACTCATTTAGCCCTTTGATTAAAAAGGATAACATATTTGATTAATATTCCCCACAAACGGACTATCCCTTCTGAAAAAGTTTGCAAATATACCTAATATGCTTAAAAGGTGCTACCAACATCATAAATATTCTTATGGCAAGTCCATTCTTATATTATATAAAATTTAAATGTTTTAGGTTTCCATTTCCTTGGGATAAAACCTTTGTTAGCAAAACAGGAGTTGTTTACCCTCATGTCCACCTTGACGTTGTGACTTGAGATTTAAAAACATTCTTCCTATGTATAAAATGTACAAAGGAATCTGGAAACCCAGGGATTTTCCCAAAATCTGAGTGGATGTTTCTATAACTTCATGTCTACAAAGAGTGGAGGTTTAAGTTTCAACTTTATTTCTAAAATATGATATCTCCAAGATGACAATATTTCTAAGAAAATAATGCTTTTCTTGTTAGACAAATAGCTCTTGAGGTTTACATCTAAATAATTTTGGATTAAACCTGTGAAGGCGTAAGTCACAAACAATGCCACACCAATTCGGGGTTATGATTATTAGGGTGGTATTTATTTAAAGGGGAAAAAACTTACAGATCACTGTCCCAGGCAACAGCCCTCTACGCAACCAGGAAAGGAGTCTAGTCGCAGGCGGAGCAGGAAGTGAAGAGAGAAAGGAGAGGGAAGTGGCCGCTTTTTTAAAGGGAGAGAAACCACGCCCCAATGGGCTGGTACCTCAGCGGTGATAGGCTGGAGGAGTGGGAGGACCTCCCGCAACAAACCTGAATACTCTAAAAGAGTATTTTGACAAATTTCCTAAACACCATTTTCCCACGCTTGAATAACTTAGAAATGGTTAAACAAATAGGTTCAACTTTTCAGAGAGCTCATTTTGAGTTGACACAAAGCATGCAAAATTTATGCTGAAAAGGTTATGAGAGAGGGTGATATTTGCAAGATACTGAAAATAGAGATGTCATATGAATATAAAGATGATAAATATCAGGTAGAAACTTGGAACAAAAGCAATAGCCACGGTCATAAATCTAACAGTGCTGTTTATGTCATAATTTCAAAGATTCTATGTATTATCTGAAATGGGTGCATCGCTCAACTTCCCTTTCCTTCACTAGTCCTGTTCTTCTTCTCAGATTCTTCTAGGTTATAATTTCCTTTCATATTTATGTAGCACACTTTAATGTGTTTTGCTATACACACTGCAAGATACAGTGACTCATTTATCTAAAGTTCCCCGCTAAAGGAAGCAAACAAAACACTTCGCAAACCTAATTATCTCCTGCTTATGCTTCTGAACTCCACTTAAATGAACCAAATCTACATGCAAATGTTGGAGTAGGGCTCCCTGGAGCCGTCTACCCACCTTCTCTCGAGAGTGTATCTTACAAACCCCACTAAATCCCCATGTCCTTTGAGAAGTCACCTAATTCTTCCAGGGCTTTCTTAGCTTAAGCACACAGCTTGTAAGGAAGGATCCTATGGTGAAATTTTAAGTTGTCCCCGCCACCTCTCTTGCCCCTTGGGGTCAATTATTAAATGAGGCTGCAAATTTCTGAGAGAAAACACTAAAGTAAAGTTAAGGAAGCTAAATCCACCTTTATGGAGTTCTTATCACAGTTACTGATAACCTTTGAAGCTTCCTTAATGCTATCTAGTGGATGCAGGCTTTGACCATCTTGTTGTGTGGGAGGTGGCTGAAGAGCAAAACCATCCAAACAGGCTAAATAAGATGCCCAAGTTAAGGCACAGCTGGAGAGGAGCTCATAATCACCAGTCAAAACCAAGGCTGAGTTTCAGCAACAAGATGCTAAGAAGTAGATATCCTGAGTGCTCCCGCCTACTGGAGGAAGCACAGAAAGAGGGATGAGAGTAAGGGAGGAGCCGCACTGTGATCTGAGCCTCAGAGCACCCATATCTGATATGACAGAGAATTGTCTTCTGTATTTTAGGTTAACTTACCTTATTTTATGTGTATGGGTGTCCTCTGTCTCTCTCTCTCTCTCTCTCTGTCTCTGCCTCTCTCTCTCTCTCTCTCTCTCACACACACACACACACACACACACACACACACACAGTGCTCTACATTATGTGTGGTTCCCACAGTGGGCAGAAGAGGGTTTTGGATCCCCTGGAATTATAATTACAGATGGTTATGAGCCGCCATGTGAGTGTTAGGAATTAAAGCCTGGGCCTTTACAGAGTAGCAAGGGCTCTTAACCACTGAGACATCTCTCCATCTCTTTGAGAGAATTCTAAGACAGTTTGGATTAGTTTTCTATGGCTGTCACAACAAATTTCCAGAGAAAATTTTATCATTTTTTAATGGGCGTGTTTCTTGTTTTCCAATTCTGGAGGCCAAAAGTCTGAAATGTGTGTTACTGAGCTAAAATCACAGTGTTGACAGGACATGTTCCTTCTGGAAGCTGACACAGACAGCCATTTTCTTTTCCAGCTGTTAAAGGCTGTTTGTTTCCTTGACGCCTATTATCTTCAAAGACAACTGACTTTTCAATGTGATTCACTTTTTTTTAAATTTTTTTTTATTGAGAAAAGGAGAAAAAAACATAAACAAAAAACAAGTTTCCACCTCCTCCCAGCCTCCCATTTCCCTCCCCCTCCTCCCACCCTTCTCCCCCTCCCCCCACTCCTTTCCCCCTCCCTCTCCAGACCACAGAAAGGGCCCCATGAATTCTGTTCTCACCCAAATCGACGAGACTGTGTATACTTTAAGGGCAGCTGACTAGCAACTTCAATTTCATCCGCAGTTTTGCCATATAGGTATTCTTATAGATTCCAGGATTTAGGATGGAGATGCCAGAGACTGCACCAATCTGCCTAACCTACCAAACTGTCCTTCACTGATATGGAATGGCTAGGCTTTTACATGTATATATCAAGTGATTACGGGACAGAGATCCCTGAGACACTAGATCTACAGTGTGGGGAGGGT